GCACCTACCAGAAACTGTGAATTTCATTTTTCTGCATTCTGCTGAAACTGATTTTGGGAGGTTTTGGGAGGTGGTTAGGTAAAGTTAGGTTAGGTCAGGTTATGTTAGTTACAAATATCTTTCAATTAGCATAATCTGACCTAACCTAACCTAACAAATACTGAATTCACGAGACAAAGAAAAATGGGTACTGAGATAACAGGAAAGTACCCAATAATCTTGTCTACAGCAATGTCCTCCATACATGATGAACATGCTTTACTGTGCAAGTGGTACCTTGCAATTTAATCCATTGCTGGACCAGGGTTAAATTGCAAAGCCGTCAAAATGCAAGACACTTTGAAAAATTAAGAAATAGAAGCACAAAAAAGTGGCCAAAGCAGGATGAATTCTGGAGCACAGGTTGAATTGAAAGTCAACCTCCCTGCAAATTTGACTGCCAAATTGTGGGATGGTCAAATTGCAAGGTACCACCTGTACTGTACAGCAATCACAGTAAAAGTATAGGTGGTATCTCACAATTTGATCTTTTGCACTTTGACTATCTTGCAATTTGATGGTCAAATTTGCTTCTAGGTTGACTCACAATTTGACCTCTCTCCCAAAATTTGACCTGTTTTAGCCTCTTTTCTTGTGTTTTTGTGCTGTTTGTCCTTGATTTTAAGGTGTCTCACAATTTGACCATTTTGCAATTCAAGTCTTCATCAAGCAATGGATTAGGGTCAAATTGCAAGGCACCAATTGTATACAATGGTTGGTTGACAAGTTTCAAGACTTTAAAATGTAGACCCAACAGAGTTTCCATGATTTCAAAAAAAAAGTTCTTGAGTAGCCCCATCATTTGAAAACACTTCAGTGCTCTTCAGCATGCTCTCGGCAAATATCAGTGAATATTTTCATTCAATGAATCCAATCACCAGAAAAGTGCAAAAATTCAATGCCTTTTTTTCTGCTCCAAATGGATGTCCCAGCAAATTTGAACATCAAATTGTGAGATGGTCAAATTGCGGGACATAGAATTGCAATAGGTACCTCCTCTATATCCATGTATGCCAGTCCGGGATAAAAACGAAGGTGCGAGTCTTATTAGCGAAGAATGTGCGACACTTGAGTTAATTAAATACTTAATTATCTTGGAGTAAAGTCATTTTTTCAGGGAATCAGTGCAGTTATAAATCCACTTTTGCTTTTTCTGGTTCATTTACAGAAGACGTGGATTGCGCGTCTATGAGTGCCGACAGCTGCTGCTCCTGGGACGGTGGCGGCTGCTCGGAAATCGCGCCGGATATCTTGACCCCGGATGACCTGATGCAAGACGACCAGCTCGAGTGCTTCACCAAGCAGGAAATCCTGGAATTGTGGCGCAAATCCGAGCGCACTTTGCGGCATCATTTGCAGCGATTGTCTCAGCAGAAGGCGGCCCTGGAAGCCAAACTCGCTTCGAGCAACGCCGCCGCCGCCGTGGTGCCGCCACCGAGGCGCCGCCAGGACGACATCACGTGACGTAACGTGAAGCCGCTGATCCGTCGAATATTTCTACGATCCTCCTAAATGTCTTTCTCTTGCTCGTTTTCGTTTTTTTTTTCTATGTGCTCTTCTATGTGTACACGGTTTGCACAAAATGATACACACGTCACATATGAATTAGAATGCGTTAAAACTTGGCATACCAACACTTCTAGTACCGCTGAAGTACTGTAGATTGCATAAAAAAATTTGTCTCACACCGTAATCAAATTTGCCAGGAAAGAATTCTCAAAACTTCCGCAAGTTTTGCGTGTAGATGTTTGAAACTGCTTTCGAAGGCCAGGGAAGAATTTGAAAAGATAACATCAGAACACAATGGCCCCTTGTTCTGACAAAAATGTTCATATTTTCAGAAAATTTTGAGCTCAACAATCTAGAATTTAGGTTTTTATGGTTTATCGACGATTTTAATGGCTGAAACAGATCACATAAGAAAAAGTCATCAAGAATAATTCTTCCACGCATTGTTTTTGCAGTCGAAGAACTATACACATCTTTCTTAATGGTAATTCAAAAATTGAATTTTGAAGCACATTTTTGAAATAGCAGTGAATTTCAAGTTTTCAACCAATGGGTTGAATTTTACTGGTGCAGCACTGTGCTCAAGGAACTTCGAAAAGTAGGATTTGAATTTTAATTTTATGTATCATATTTTCATCTTGAATTGAAATACCATGAAGGGGAAAACGAAAAAAAAATCGAATGACTTTCGATGAATTTTTAACTAATTATCCTGGTTTCGATCTATATTTATCTCCTATAGGTAAATTTTAAAAGTAATCAAATGCCCTCAGTTATTTCTTAAAATGCTTCGAACGAAATCAGTCGCGACAGTTTTAGAACTCAACTGCTCTTGAAAATTGTAATCCGCTGAAATCCGAATTTAATGGGTCAAAATTATTTCTGGGCTATGTCGCGATGCCCATATATAAAATGATATAAAAAATATACTATATAAAAAGGCCCATGTATAAAATGATATAAAAAATCTACCAAAAAGGATTTACAAGCTTTTCAAGATGAATTCCAGATGCGATCTAAATTGGAAAGAATTGCATTTCATTCTAGTGTTGATGTGATAAATGAGTAAATCTTCCTTTTTTGCTCTTTAAATTTTTAAATGTCATTTTTCTTGAGAAATGTGACGGTTTTCCACGTGTCTATGTACTAGGCCACATTTTCTTCAGAAAATTAAAAATTCGCTTTCTGTTCATGCATGATTTATGCGTTCAAAGTCGATTGACTCCGCATAAATGAATTTTAAAATCCTGAAAAATTATCTTCATCAGAAAAAAAAAATGAGCGTTGCATATAAAAGTTGCACGACTGAACACGCGGCTTTCTCGTACGCTTTTCTTGCTCATGCTGGCTTCTCTTGTAAAAAAAAAAGAAGAAAAGATCGAGGTCTGAGCTTTGTCATCTATTTGTTATATTCTCATTCTTTCCTTTCTTTTACTTTCTCGCCACAAAAAAAATTCACCGTTCCGTCACCAGCGCGCTTTGTTGATCGATGTTTCCAGAAAGTTTTTCCGACACTGGAAATTGTTTTTTGTGCCTCGAAACTGTTTCGTCGGTCGAGTGCGTTTTCTATACTGCCAATATTTGGGAAAAGAAACCGAAGAGGAAGATATGAACTTTCAAAAGAAAGAGAGGGGAAAAAAGGAGGCGATTCTGATAGAAAGTGGATTGAAATTTTGAGAAGAGAGAAAAAAGATGTTAACCAGAGTTCCGCCGAAATTGCCCGGGAAATAATTTTTTGGAAGTTTAAGAAACTTATCTCGAAGAAGTTTCGCAATATTCATCCACAGGGAGGAGGGAAAAGTCGGTTGAAAAAAAAACGAAATCTTTGCCTTCCACCACATTTTCCCGTTTTTGCATTTCCGCACCCAATCATGAATCTTAAAACAAAACCACAACAAAATGCTCACGTTAGACTCGGATTGAAAAAAAAACAAGAAAAAGGCGCGAATATCGTCTCAGGGGATATTCGTTTTGCTAAAAATCTGTTTTGCCAAATGGTGCTACGTATTTAGGAATTCGTTCGCCTTCGTCTTTTTTTTCTTTGTTTCTTCGGCGAGAAAAAGAAAACTTTGGGCCTGGAAGCAGGGCTGTGCAGGGCAATTATTCCGGTTTTTTAATGCTGCTTTTTAGGAATTATCGCGAATGAGTCTCGCTCGGGAATGCCAATGAAACCTCGTCAGCTAAGTGTAAATACAGTTTTCTTTCAAGATTGTTTGAAAACGCTGCTGTTTTAAATTTTGTATCAGCCATCAGCTTCTTCTCACTTCGACCTTCGCGAAACGGTGCCATTAATCTTTTAATAAAGATTTACGTTGGTTACGGTTGCCCCTTCAATTTTTTGACTGAAGTATGTTATATGGGTGGTTTTCAAGTGGGTAACAAACTTATGAATCCCGTAAAGTGTTGAGCTTCCGATTAATATTGGGAAGTGGCGTCTACTTTCACTTATATAATTTTCATGGTCAATATAAAATTTCCGGGCATGAACATGAATTATTTCTGCCCTCTTTCAGAACTGTATTTTACCCTCAAGCAAGATGTGCACATTGATTTTAGCACATTGATTTTAGAGAAAAAAATTTAGGTGAAAATATTGCAATACCCATGCAGTATTATTGCAGCACACAACGAAATTGTCTTATTGAATATAAGTTGATAATGTCGAATAAACCCACTTAAAAATTGTAAATTGTCTTTTTGAGCTTCAAAGTGTTTCAAATTTTGAAACCTTTTCAGTTCCATTTGCAAATAATAATGAGATTTGAGTATACCTATAGAACCTTACAATCAAAATTTTGGAAAATATTATTTTTACTTGAGCAAGATACAAGCCTCCCATTTTTGGTTAGAGTTCCAGGAATGAGTTGCATGTGGTATTGGAGTGATTATTGTAAGTTTCAATGTTTAATTACAACATTGACTGCTGGCAGCAAGCTCATAAATAAATTATGTAGCTAATTCATCAGAATTCGCAGAGTTCTGCTGCAGTAATTTGAGTCAGTGTATAAATTATTCAAGCAACACCTGCCACAAGTAAAGTATAAAGCAATGTTTGATTTTAACAGATCCGAAACAATCTTCAAGTGGAACTGAGCATTTTGTAATCCCCCAGGATTAATTTTTAACGAGGTTAAATTGGCATGACCAACGGTAGAAAGAACGACTTAATTGTAGAATCTGCTTTTGTATTGACTCGCGATTGCTTTGAATTCCGTCAATGTGGCTTCTTACTGCGAACGTGTTTGTGCGAAAAATGAAATGGAATTGTTGGACATCGGCTACTTCTTAATTTATCCGGTATTCCACATGGAGACAAGTTTGATGCTGGGGAAATCTATTTTTAAGTCTTTTCAAATTTCTGCGCTTGAAGGCATGATGTCAGCCGCCATTTGTAGAAGCTCCTGAATGTACTGCAAGAAATTTTTGTTGTTGAAACGATTGCACAATTAGAATTAACAACCAGCAGTAGATACAACCTTCAAGTGACTTCTAATGGTTGCAACGTAAGAACGGCGCGCAGCAGAGTTTTTATCCGATTGGTCAGATGTCGCTGCTGGGCTATCACCATTCCCTTCCAAAATAAAAGATTCCTTCATCTTTGTGGGCCTCGCTAGTAATCCGGAGAATTCTGCCGTCACTTCGTCCAACTCGGCTTCCAACTGTCTCAGATTCTCTGCATCAACTTCCGAAACGGCTTCGTTTACGTAAAGATAATTTTCATAGTTCTTAGCTACGACTTCCCCAGTTTTCAAGCGACGTTCAACTCTCATTGCTTCTTCGGTCAATTGACCAATTTCATCAAACTTCAAACGGATTTCGTGCTCAAGTTCTGCGACATCATGAGCAGCATGCTGGAACAAGAATACCCCGGCTTTGGGTTCTTTGTTCGTGTTGAATTCCGCGATTCTATCACGCACAATATTCAACAATGATTCCATTCGGGAGTTCTTCAGACGTTGAGATGCGAGAAACTCCAGCCTGGCACTAAGCTGATGTTTCTGCTCTCGTTTTGCCGATTCAGTTTTCACTTCCACTGCTATTCGTCGGATCGTTCCCTTAGGCGAGCGAAGAAAATCATGCACGCCACATTAATTGATTAACATGTCAAAAAGTTTTTACGCAGGACAGATGCATATTCTTTAGCCAAGTTTAACTCGCACTTCTCTTCATCTCACCTCGACCTTCTTCAATGATTCGCGGAATCGTTCCAGGACCATTGGGACATCAGCGTGACATCTCCACTGTTGGAATCCAAGAACTAATCCTACAAGGATTCCAGGCACAGCAAAGAGAGAATAAAATGCAGGATGAACTTCCTGACCTTCACTCATCTTAAATTTAAATGCCCCATTCAGACGAAAGAATTCCTTCAACACGAAAGAAAAATCCGTGTCTCATGCTATAGAAGATATTTATTCAGCTCGGTATGTTCGAAAATGAAATAAAAACATGGAAAATCGGAAGAACCTCTTTGGAAGCTCTGAAATTCGACGCTTGAACGAGAAAACCCGCACTTCTGAAGGCAATTGGAATATCCTTCCTTCTCCTTTCTCATAAAAAAGAATTGATAACAAAAATGTTGCGAAAATGAAGGAAAAGCAGACGAATTCCCGGAAAAAATCTAATCAAAATCAGCCATCCCGCCGTTGATGCGCACACTTCTTCCGGAAACCACCAAAAATGTATCATCCTGCAAATCTCGCAAAGCATCGTCGAACATATCTCTTGTGATGGCCTGAAGAGAGAAAAACACATTCTTGCATTTTGATGCACTGAAAAGTTAAAAAAAAGCAAAAACTTACAAGTTCCGACGAATCCCTGAATTCTGTGAACAAATTCTGCACACTCAGTGTTTTGACGTTTTTTCCCTTCTTTGCGATCAACGTTCTAAAAACAAAGAAAAAATAACAGAATTACAAAAGGCAAATCATCATCAAGTGAACCATCGCGAAGCTCGATTCAGTGAAATCTGAAAGCAAACTATTGTCGGAAGTTCCACTTATTTCGAAATGGGTCAACATTTTTCCGGTCATCGATTAAACAAATACGGCGAGTTGAAGAGACAAAATGTGTTGTGATGAAAAAATGGTCAAATTATTCCCAAATTTAACATGAGGTCTCGGTTTCAAGTTCCAACCACGATTCGAGCTCATTCTCGATTAAAAGATGCTTGAAAGCTCTCGAGATATAAAATGCACCCACGACAAGCTTCAAAAAAAGTCGAACAAAAGAACTTGCACTTTCCTCGAAATTCTACTGAATTCATTAAAAAACTCGCTACAATTTCAAAATAGCAGTGAACTGTACCAGAGTTAACGTCTACCGCATTTGGAAAAAAAGGTGAAAGCTACACGAACTACCGTGGCTCACCTCAACGCTTGGGCGACTTCCGCTCGCCGCTTCCGCGCAGCGGAACTCATACCCGTCGTCAAAATTGAAACGTCAATCTTTCCAGACGTCGGATCCGTCGCCGACTGCTTCAACGCCTCCCTGTACAACCTGAACGCCTCGTCCACATCCGCACGTTCCACAGTGCTCGAGAGACGCATTTTGGCGTGTGCTTCCGCCAGACGCATCAGCGACTCCAGCTGACGCGGATAAGCAGTGATTTGTCCACGACCCGCTCCTGCTCTACGCATCTCGACATACGCATCAACCAACTTGGCAGAGGCTTCTTCGCTCAAAATCGGATTCACGTGCTCTCTGCCATACGCGATGTAGTCCCGGAGAACCGTCATGTCGATCAAATCCCTGTCGACGACGTCGTCATCCTGGAAAAACATTGTTTGATCAGCTATGCGAATCACGAAAAAAAAAACAGGCACGTTGGTTCTAGAACCCACGAAGAGTCCCTCGACCCAGTGTCACGTACTGCATGAACTTCCCCCAAATCTTAGGAAAATTTCGTTCATGGACTCGATTTTGTGAATGAATTAGTGGAGGGACGAAGATTCGGAACAAAATACGGAGTAAAACAACGATCAACACAACCAAGCTTTCATTCACTTGAAAAATTACGCTCGTAGCAGATTTTTCTGATTTCTTGTCGAGCACGAGGGTATAGAATCTCGAAACAATGAAAGCGTGTCCTAAATAAACTCGGAATTTTTCCCAAAACCTCACATCGTCATCGACGTCCTCAACCTCCATGCCATCAACTGTGGTCTTCGACTTGATTCGCTTGTGGTACAAAGAAACCAAATGTTTAGCCAAACGCCGATCGTACACTTCATCCTGTGGATCCAACATCAAGAAGATCAAGTCGAAACGAGACAACAGGGTGTGCGGCAGTTGAATGTTTTCCACGATGGTCTTTGACTTGTTCCACTGAGAGTCAATCGGATTAGCCGCAGCAAGAACCGACGTTCGAGCGTTGAGTTGACAAATCATCCCAGCTTTTGCAATACTCAAGGTTTGCTGCTCCATCACTTCGTGGAGCACAGACCGAGTGGCGTCTGACATTTTGTCAAATTCGTCAATGCAACAGATGCCGTTGTCAGCCAAAACTAAGGCTCCTCTGAAAACGCGATAAAAGAGGGGGTAATTCCGGAGATCATGTGGACGCCATTGTAAACAAACTTACGTTTGCAGAACGAGCTGCTTCGTGTCGGGGTCTCTCAGAACATAAGCAGTGAGACCCACAGCGCTGGATCCTTTTCCAGAAGTGTACTGCGACCGAGGAATCAAGTTGAAAACACACTGCAGAAGCTGAGACTTACTCGTACCTGGGTCTCCGCACAGCAAGATGTTGATTTCAGATCTGTTACATTGAAATAAATGAAAAAGGTCGCCTCAATAGGAGAAGAAAACAAAAAGGGAAACTCACCGAAAATGTCCACGACCACAATCCTCTGAGAAGTCTTTCTTGGTTCCACCGAAGAGTTGCATCAAAATTCCTTTTTTGATATCCTCATGTTCGTAGATTGAAGGAGCAATAGCCCTGGCCAGTCGCTCATAGATGTCGGGTTTCTTCGACAAGGCCTGTAGAAACTCAATCCGGTCTTCCGTAAAGTAAATACCACTGAAAAAAAAAACTTCAAGTAAGTAAAATCACCGCGATCATCTACAGGGTTACATATACGTTTGACTTCCCTATACAATATTCGAAAGAAAGTCTCGCCGCAATTATCGAAAAGGTCTTGCGATTCAAGCAATTAATATAAAAGAAATTCTGAGAAGCGAAATCACCTGAAAATGATTTTAAATACACCTCGCAAGAAATCGCGGTTGTTATGCTTGCTGGAAATGAAAGATAAATACGGGTACTGTACTTATGCAGTAGTTTCGTGAAAATACAGTACAGTATATCGGAAGTTTCTCGGCCAACGATATTAAGGCTCAGAAATTGAGGTTCGTTTTGGAAAAAACACAGATTTCAATTATTCCCGGGAGAAGACGTTCAAATGACTCACCCGATTTGATCATCGCGCAGACGACGAGAATCAGCCTTTCGAAAGTGCAAGACGTCGATGTGCGTTCGAAAGACCGCTTTCACAGAGGTTCTAATAGGGTTGACACGGAAGGGCACGGCACGGTAAATGCCTGTCACAGTGACACGGTCACCAGGTTGTACTTCATCAACGAGCTCGTTGCTTACGTGCAATTGAACAGTATGAGGCGTTTGCCCTGCCGGCATATCCTCTACAGAAGCAGAACACGAAGTCATTAAAATGTAAATTTCCGAAAGAAAATGGATATATTACCTGGGGCCTCCTGTAGTTTGATTATCTGTCTGTCGGTGAACTGGCAGCGATTGTGAACCAATTCGAAGCTGTGCTTTGTGTTGCAATGAGAACAAAGCGTCGGTTCCTCCAGTCTGTTCCGGTCCATTTCCGCCACTTCGGTCTTGAGACACACGGAGCACATGAACAGAGCTTCTCTCATTTCCGGAAGTGGGTTCGAGCATCGGATTACCATTCCACAAACGGTTATAAGCTGATCAATATCTTTCGAAAATAAACAAGAAAAATTTCAGAATTTCTGTTCAAATATCGATCTGTGACGGTCATACTTTCTGGCCCGAGCTCCCGCATATTCTGTGTTTTATCAGCGTTATACGGTTTCACGCAGATCTGGTGCTTAAGCACAGTGCCAGAATGGCGCTCACGATAAATATCGTTGACAGCAATATCGAGAACAGGAATAACTTCGGACGGATAGGCCACAACTTCTTCATACAATTCCTGATCAAAGCTGCGCAGATGCGCACAGTTGACCATCAAAAACGGATCTTCAGTCACCGCAATCTGCAAAATGAAGCATACGTGAGTTAATCGAAGCATAGGAAAATTTAAAGCGTACATACGTCCTCAATTCTTTGCATATAAACAGGAGCGTCCACGTCCATGCCCCTATTTTGCTCATCTTCTTCTAATTCGGATTCCCGAAAATTGAGCAAAAATTCCATGAAACGCCGCTTCGTGCGACCCACGGCAACATTTGTCCCCCAAATAACGAGATGAGGTCCTTCATCCTCGGCTACAGAATCCGGCCTTGCACCTGGAGTCGCAGATAGCGCTCTACTTCTCCCGCGTCTTGATGGAGTACCACTCGGGACAGATTCCGGGTGATCTTGAGAGGACTGTATTCAGGTAAGAAGTTGCACTTCGGGTTGACGTACTTGGAAACAAAGATGACTCACGGCAGGAGTGCTAATATTAATCTGGCGCACGACAGAGCGCTCCATGCGAAGATCCGTGCGTTGACGATGAGGGGTGGCTGAGCGTGGCGAGTTTGTATCCGATCCATAGTGCAACGGAGAGCTCAGATTGAATACTATGACATGAAACGAAAGTAATAATAATAATTCAATCGATGAAGGCAGACGGCGGCCAGCTCACTCATTCCATCTCCCAATGCAGGACCTGTGTAAGTTCTGTCATCTGAATCAGACGGCGGCGCCAGTTCCCCTGAGCTTTGGTTACCACTAGTAAAACGTGGGTAACCAATAACAATTAGTATTTTGCATTCTTTCGCATTTCCGCTGAGATGAACTTACGATGCTGGTTGGGAACGCCTCGGCGTACTAAGCTCCCCATCACCACCACGCGGAGTTGCGCCACGGCTTCCACCAGACACATTCGAGCTTGGAGTGCGCACCGCGGATCGTGTTGAGCGGGTAGAAGAAGGCGTGCCATTCACGGAAGAGCGACCGCGACGCGGCTGAGGAGTTCTTTGCGGAGACGCAGATGGCATAATTCACGTTCAGATCAGCACGCCGTTGAACGCTTGCTTTCACCGAAGATCGCTGCAAATTATCCTGTACGTCTGTGGAGATGTCATTGATTAATTCAAAACGCTTCCACATTAGGCATACATCAGCCCGCAACTCATCACATCACGACACAGCAGTAAGGTTTCACGCGTGCACAAGTTCCGACGAATGGTCGGATTTTCGCGCGCGTTTTACTTTGTTCCTCATGCTCCAAACAGAACCTGCGATCCAGTGCCTTTTCAGGTGGTGAAAATGAACGACAGCACTCTGGCGGCCAATGTTTCAACAAGAGACATCTACAAAAGCAAAAGCAAAGCAAAATCGAGCATCTCGTGAGTGCTGTCGGCAGTCCGCAGTCTCAGCACTGTCCAAGAACAATCTACCATAATTTCTGCAAAAACTGTACTGTATTCGAAACTGTTGAATGATTACGGTTGCCTTGGCAAAAATGGAAAATGTCCTTGAAATGATTCCAAAAACCGAGACAATTTCCTTCAAATATGCTTTTCTTCAGAAATATGCATGGTGAATGCTGATTGCTGAGATGGAGCTGACCGAAATCCCATCTCACTCAGAAATAAGTTAAAGATAAAGTCTGGATAAGGGTTGAGTTGCTTGACGTATTCAGTAAGCACCTGATCGGGTCAAGGTCAGTCATATACGAGTTCTGAAGCGAGGTCAATTAGCTTTGTTATCTCATCAGCATATTTCTGTTTGTTCTAAATATAAGCGGAGAATGGGTTGATGATTGATTGCGCAAAGGCGTACAGCGTGATGGCGTTTCATGCAAGCTGCAGGGAGTGAGTTCGCATGTCTGGAAAATGCAGAATAAGTGTATTTTGACGAATAGAATAATTGTCTTTCCGCTTTTGAATACCTTGACGGTTTAAATGTTTAAACTTTATAATTTTTTCCACAGTGGAACAGTTCTTTTTTTTATGCAATGACGAATATTTCAAAACAATGATACTGTACTGTATCTTTGTACTAATGGTAAAAAAAAACTGAAATTTCGTTTAGCTCGAGTAAAAATCAAGTGCTTTCGCAAGATTTTTTTTCTGAATTTAAGCATTGGATGCATGCATTTCTATAGAGTAGATTTCAAACAGAGCGACTGATGGAATATTTTTCAATTGTTTTATCTTTATTTTCCTGCAAAAATTATAGAAATGGACTAATTCGGATTGCATAATGATCAACTCTCCGTTTATTCACTTAGAATTCCAACTTTACTTAGGTTTCATCGGTACTGATATCGAACTGCATGAATTGAATGAGCCGTCTTATTGATTGTTTCCTAAAATAATATTATTAGGCATTACTGTACTGTATATGTGATCAAGCAGTGTGTCAGACGACGGTTGAAGAGTATGCAAAAAATCTGCCTTCATATTCCAGCCCTTTGCAATGACTTCCCATTTGTAGCGTATTTCTCGCAGAATTTCAGAGTTTCCATTTTTAGACGACTTTCAGGGCTGTATCGAATTTGCAGGCACACAAATATCATTCTGTGTGTGTTTGGGTACTTCAAGGTACGAAAAATAACTAAGAAATATGAAAAACTTGTGCACATCTATTCAGCGATCTGAAGGTTTTTCATGTGACATAAAACGTAACTGATCGACAATTCGCAGAACATAAAATCCCGTCTCGTGTTTCTCTTGTGTGCTATAAAATCAGATTAAAAAGCATCCGGCTTTTACAGCACCGGGACTTCTTCACTTATTGATTCAAAACGCGTGGAATATTTGCAACAAAAAAATCCAAGTTATGCTTCTCGTCATCATATAGAGGATAAAGGATTCAGTATATTGCGATTACGTAACTCACCATTTTAAAGATAAGTTTTTACTGAGAGGAAGTATATTAGACAGCCGTTGAAGGTGCTCGAGTGGGACTATGGATCCATCAAGGTTGGATAAGATCGGACCCGTGCACCCATCGTCCACCAGATCGAATGCTAAAACGAAACAACAAAAAAGCAATCAAACCTCAAAACAAAGTGCAATCAGTAAGTTGATGGACCGAGCCCTTTTAGAAGGAAGTCTGTCCAAAGCATCACGGCCCATTTATTCATAAGGGCAAGGTCACTTCACGCTTTTCTTTGGTACCAAGATTACGCAAGTTAATCAACAATCATTGCATGGGAATTAAATTTTGACTGTTTTTCCTGTGCAATGAACTGTGATGATATATTTCCCCCCATTTATTCAGCAATGGCCCAGTTTTTCGGATCAATATTTGATAGCATTGTTTATCAATTATTATATTTTCTCAATGATTGCGCATTGGAGAATCATGCCTAGCTATGTAAAAAACTGATTCTAGTCATGAAAAAAGCTATGTTTAGTTTCAGTCCGAATTTCCTAAATTCTTTCTTGCACAACAGTAGGTTCTTCTCCATCCTATAGCAGTGTTTTTGTTGTTGTTTTGTTTCGTTTTTTGCATGTTGATGAGACGATTTTTTTTGACGAAACGTCATCAAAACGTGGCCTGGGCTGATGAGAATTCCAATAATTTTCTTTAATGAGGACAACTATAAATCGCATTTTTCACAATCTTCAAATAAAAATCCCAAGGGCCATGGCAGTGAAGCAGTGACGAATTTTCAATGTTTCAACAAACATTTTCTGCACCAATATTAAAAAAGTTGCTTTTTTCAACTGACTAAATGTTGATCAGCCAATTTTTTTTTGAAATTGCGGGCACAAAATATTTTCTAAAATATCCTGGCTTTACAAAATTATAGAGTTGAAAACAGTTTAGGCACTCTAGAATATAAATCACTGAGATTGGAATACTTCAACCATCAAACCTTCATAGCTCATATGTCCTGAAGCTTTTAGGCAATTATTCTGGGGATGACGATTGGGTACCAATGAAATGGAAGAGCACTGCAATCGTAGCTTGATGCTTTCCATTTGGAACCCCAGTACTTATTGGGAAAATGTACTGTATCCCATTGCTTCGATCCTTCAGAAGATCAGCATCTTGCTGACTCATTTATCCAGCAGCTCAAGGCCCAGAATATATGACCAAATTCACTTCCTGAAATTATTGCAACATTATTCCAATTTTTATAAATAGAAAAATTCCCCAAGAAAAATGTTTTGCTGACTTCTCTGAGGCTGAACGAGGCTGGTCTAACTGCACTTTGATAGCTTCAAGCGTCATAATAAATCTAATTAAATAAAGAGTTTATATCCCCGAGAAATTTCTCTGAGTATAGACATGTAACAGTTATAATCCCAATTTTTTGTTAGATTGATATAATTTGAAAATTGTCAAACTCGTACATGTCCAGAAGTGTCGCATGACTTATGCATTGAAAAAATAAGAAGACACCTACAAAACATTCAAAATTGAAACCGATGAGTTGGCTGATGATTTCTTTCTCAGTAGTTCGAAATCACGGAATATCTACTTGTTAAATCAGATCTGTGGATAATTGGAGTTCTAAGCTGCGGATATACTTATTTTTATATCCTTTTTTAATTATAGTAGCTCATTGAACCATGTCCAGCTCATCAACCAGATGATTTGTAAAATTAGAAAAGCAACGAAACATTCAAAATTGAAACTGGGTTTTTTTGACAGGCGGCTTTATTCCTTCTCAGTTCATTGAAATCAGGAAATTCACTTGGAAAATCAGACTTAGATAATCGGAGTTCCATGATGTATAGGCACTTCTTTTCTCCTTTTTTCTGCTACTTGCTCATTCAGCATTCCACCATGTCAAGCTTATCATTAATATGATTTGAAAAAGGAACAACAACACGAACAAGAAAGCTTCCAAAATTGAAACCATAAGTTCTCAGTGCTGTGAATAAAAATCAGGAAATTTACTTGGCAAATTTTACTGTGGGCAATCTTCTTCTTCTGCTAATTGCTCATTTCACCATGCCAAGCTTATCAGCAAGAGGATTTGTAAAAGGAACACAAAATAACGAAATATTCAAAATTCAAGCTGAGTTTATTGGCGGGCTGCTGGATTCCTTCTCAGTTCATTAAGATCAGGAAATTTACTTGGTAAATAAGACCTTGAGAATTGGAGTTCCATATAATGCATTGGTACTGTATTTATTTTCTGCCTCTCCTGCAATTTTCTCATTTCACCACGTCCAGCGTATCAGCCAGATGATTTGTACATGAACAGAAACAACATAAACAACAAAACATATAAAATTGAATCACGGGTGGCAGGCTTTCTGAATTTCTTCTCAGCACACGGAACTCATGAAAATGACTTAGTAAATCAGACCTGGATAATCCGAGTTCTATACTGTAAACTTATTGCTTTTTGTCTTCTTCTGCCTCTGCTATACAGTTCTGCAGTTGCTCATTACACCAGCATGTCCTGCTCATCAGCCAGATGATTTGAAAAATGAATAAAAAGCAAGAAAAACATTCAGAATTGTAATAGAGTTGGAAGGCTTCTGAATTCCTTCTCAGCACATGGAAATCATGAAATTTGACTTGGTAAATAAATTTGATTTGGATAATCCGAGTTCTATATGCTAACATGGCTTCAAGAAGGAAGCATTCTTCATTCTTTTTTTTCTGCTTCTGCTATTCTGCAGTTGCTCATTTCACCATATCCTGCTTATCAGCCATAGTATTTGTAAAATGAACGAAACATTCAGAATTTAAACTGTCCTGTTGGCAAGCTTCTGAATTTCTTTCCAGCACATTCTGAAATTGACTTGGTAAATCTGACCTGGATAAACCAAGTTTTATTTATTGCATTCTTTATTATTTTTTCTTCTGCTTCTGCTATACTGCAGTTGCTCATTTGACCATGTCCTGCTTATCAGGCACACGATTTGTAAAAGGAACAACACATTCAGAATTGAAAACTGTGTTTTGGCAGGCTTCTGAATTTCTTCTCAGCACATTTTGAAATTGACTTGGTAAATCTGACCTGGATAACCCAAGTTCTATATTCTGGATTTTTTTCTGCTTCTGCTATACTGCAGTCATTTGACCATGTCCTGCTTATCAGGCACACGATTTGTAAAATGAACAACACATTCAGAATTCAAACTGTGTTGTTGGCAGGCTTCCGAATTTCTTCTCAGCACATTCTGAAATTGACTTTTTAAATCTGACCTGGATAACCCAAGTTCTATATACTGTATCCTTTTTTTCCCCTCTGCTTCTGCTATACTGCAGTTGCTCATTTGACCATGTCCTGCTTATCAGGCACACGATTTGTAAAATGAACAAAACATTCAGAATTGAAAACTGTGTGGACAGGCTTCTGAATTTCTTCTCAGCACATTCTGAAATTGACTTGGTAAATCTGACCTGGATAATCCAAATTCTATATACAGTAAACCCCCGTCTAACGGACTTGATTTGTGCAAGGGATGAGTCTGTTAGACAAAAAGTCCTTTACACAAATTCAATTACATAAAAAATTAAAAATTTCAATTTTCAACACTAATTTTAAACCAAAAGAAGTTTGTTTGGCGGATTTTGTCTGTTGGGCGGGAGGAAAAACTGCTTGCAGAGCTGGTCTGTTTGGCAAAAATCCCTTACATGGGAGATCTGTTAGGCAGGGGCCACTGTACTGCATTCTTCATTCTTTTTTCCTGCTTTTTTTATACTGCAGTTGTTCATTTAACCATCCATGTCCTGCTCATCAGCCATATTATTTGTAAAATGAACAAAACATTCAGAATTTAGACTACTGAATCGTGTTGGCAAGCTTCTGAATTTCTTTTCAGCAGATTCTGAAATTGACTTGGTAAATCTGACCTGGATAATCCGAGTTCTATATATACTGCATTCTTCATTCTTTTTTTTCTGCTTCTTTTATACTGCAGTTGTTCATCTAACCATCCATGTCCTGCTTATCAGCCATATGATTTACCAGCATTTCCAGGAACCCGGCAGCACGTACAGAGGAGCCAATGCATCGCCGGGTTTCCGCGCAGACGCCGGAAAACCCTGGCCTTGAATGAGCAGTTGGCTACAACAGCCAGTGAATGAACTTTGCCTTTCCGCGTTGTCATCATGCATCTTATATATGGCATCCTTCCCTATCTGCTTTTCCTCTCGTATTCTCTTTTCTCATCCCTTCATTATATCCCCAACCATGATTGCCCGGGGTCTTCACATCAACAATTATGCTGTGCCTTCAGTTGCTTCGCTGCCTGCTATATTTTATTCGGCCCAGGTGCGGTATTTTTGCGCTGGAACAGGACGTGTTCAACCAGCGCTGGGCTTTTGAATGCTTCTCGAAAGATTTGAGGAAAATTTGCAGGATCGACAGCCAGACAAGAGACAGTGTCGTGGATAGAATGCAAAATTGTGGATATTTTCCTACAAAGAACTTTATCACCTTGGTCGCCAAGGGCAAGAAGCTTATGTAACATTCCAGGAAAGGTTTTTTTGTTTGGGGCAGTCGTCAAAATAACTGGGAAACATTTTTTCCAGACATATATGAGAAGAAGAAAGATACCTGCATCTTCCTTAATTTCTTGGAGATATTCAAAAATAATGAAATATGGCAACACAAGATGAGCAGATTTGAACAAAAATGAAAATACACTTCAACAATTTCTGTATCCTATGACTTTCCATTCACCAGTTGAACTTTTTCAGAACTTTTAAAGCTTCTGATGGGGAATAAATTTTGCAAACAGTCCTGGCTCTGATACAGATAGGGAATACAGTAAATTCCGTTTACCACAGTTAAATACAAAGTTCAACCAAAAAGAAGTGATGCTCTGCGACATTTGTTCCTTGTCTAGAATAACAAACATACGAATACAGTCATTTCTGGCATTCAAAGTACCTTCTGAAGATATGATTTTGATCCGTATTTTCACTTTTTGGTGGTTTACTACCGAATGCAAATGATCAAAGCAGCCAAAATGTATCGAAAGAAAAAAATCGTCACAACTGTTGAGGCATTACATCAGACACCATTAGTTGATGTGATGGATAAAAATATTTTTCTCGACCTTTGCCAGTCTTTGAAATAAAATCTATACAAATTCTATTCGTTGACTGAAATAAGAAAACAACCAGTAATGTACTTAAGCCCACCCTGAGGGTCTACAGGAACATTTCTGGAGGATTTCGACCTTAAAAAAAAAAAAAAAAGATGAGCGTCCTAGTCAGGCAGATTCATGCGCACCAGAAAAGTTCCGGTTCCATGCAATTTTGCTATGGAAGAGAAGGTCTTTATTTTTCTTTGTTCCCGATTCACCGTATGATATGCCTTTGTATAGAGGAAGTAAAACTAAGCTGAAGTTTCCGTGACTCGGGGTGAAGAAGTTGAGTGGTTATTATGGCTCCTTTTTTCAAGAATGCAGTTCCGAGAATTGCTCCGCCGTGTGGTGAGAGCGAAAGATAATTATTGTTCGGAATCATTCACCATACAGGTTAGATTTTGGATTTTGAGCGCCAATTATGATTAATTTGCCATATAACGAAATGAAGAAAATCACCTAAAAAATCACAGCGTCGTATGTAGCATAATTTAAAAAAAAATTCGAGCGTATGCTGGTTATGGCGAAGAAATTGCTGATGTCGCACTGATTTTGGGATACGGCGAAGGACATTTAAATGAACGCATGCAAAAAATACAGGCCATGCATTAAATTATCCGCTGGTCATTTGCAAGTCTACAAACACATTATATGAGCTTGATGCATATTATGATTTTATTTCTCAGTCATAAACTCGACGCTTCATAAAGAACGCACTGAAAATTGAATAGCGTTTCATCGAAAGCGAATAAACCAGGAAGCTCACACTTTTCAAGGTTTATTGGCTGAAAAAAAAAATGGTACAGCAAACATTTTACTTCCTGTTTATGCCTAAAACTTTCGATCATCGCGGAAATCTGTACGTACAGTATATGCATTTCGTTTTTATATTTACTTTCTATCCTACATAATCGATTATAATTTCGTTTATTTGATAAAAAAAATTAAATACGTTTCCATTAGGGGCACGTACATATCCTATTTTATAGTATAATCTTCAATATGATTGGAATTGAAAGAGTAGCATTATAAGCAAGTATTCGACGCACGACGGTTAATAACAGAAAACTTAAAATTACTGTTCCTATTTAATTTTTTAAGTTTAAGCGGGAGGTACAATGAAGAATTGTGTCTGGAATTGAATCTTGAAACTTTTTTGTACATTCTGTAAGATCGTTTTTTTTCAATTCGGTTACTTTTAAAATGAAAAACTTATCAACTTCAATATCTATTGCCAACATTATTGTCTGCTTAACTTCAACCACTGATGATGGAAAAATTTCGCGGGTTTCGACGTTTTTTCTTCAAACATGTGATTGCTGGTTGGTATAAATATTCAAAATAAATTAGATGCAACCTCAATCGAAGATGATTTAAAAAATAATAATTTGGATTGAAGTACTGTAGTGCTAAAAAGGTTTTCTCCTACCTTCCTGAAAACTTGACTGCTCACCAATTTTAGGTACTGGTTTTAGCAATTGTATTTTCTTTTAATTCTTCGTCCGCACAGAGCAGATTTATTGTTTAAAAAACGCTAGTAAAATGTTATTTGTTCGATTATAGGGGGTTTTATTTGTTTGTAAGTTTTCGCTGTGGCCGTTAAATCTTGCGAGGTTATTCAATTGATAACTTATTTTTTAAATTCATAGAAACAAAAAACAAACGAACCCCTTTTCCCGGATATATTCATGATGGTGCATCCATAAAAATCCCTGCAAAATAATGTAATACGCTCTCAATTAGCATTTATTTCATGATTGGTCAGCTGGAATAATACAAAATAACCTGCTTCAAGAATCTAAAAAATTCCCTTGCTATTCTTTAAAAATGTTTCTACTATAAGGAAAGCTTCGGTGCCATGCATTTGACCATCAGAATATATAATGGCATTAAAATTACTCTCGCCATTATTGGAAAAAAATTTCCGTATAAATAAACGCGCAGTTTGAAACAGCAATCCCAGAGTTTCCTTTTGAGCACGGAAATTGACCTTCGTCGACTTGATTTCAACCGACGGAAAGGGGAAAAAGAAATAAAGAGGTTTGAAAGAAAAAAGAAGTAATTGAGCAGCAGTCGGGTACCAATGAATGCAATGTGCTCTTAATAGAGACCGAAGACAAGAACCTCGTGGAGCGTGAAATCACGGGTGAAAAAAAAAAAAACAGAAGCCCGGCAGCGTATTTCCCACGCTGAAAATCGACTCCGCAATTTCATAGGACAATTAAAAAATGTAACAAAAGAAATAAAAGAATAGAATTGAGTTTGTTACTATATATACAGTATATATTATACGAGAGAAGGGCAAGGCGAAGCGATTACTCGGACACCTTAACCGGAACCTCAATCGACGAGAATGGCGTGAAAGTACAATAAATATGTCGCTTATCATGGTTAAATGAGAAAAGAAATACGCTGAATATTTCAGGGTCGCCGAAACGTGGAAAAAAGGGGACTTTTAAAGGTAACCTGGGCCGCGGAAATCGTGCTGGTCCAATTATTTTGTTTGCCCCTCGTAGTTCAGCATGTGGTGGCATTTGAGAAAAGGGTTTTCTCACAAGTTCTGCTGAGATGAACCCTTTCCGCGAATTGCTTTAAATATGGAAATCTCCACTGTTACTTATAAATATGGTCTTTTATATGTAATGTGCAAAATGCTTAAATTCCGCAGCTTTCTTTCAATCATCAATGCCATAAATTATATCCGCTATTTGACTTATTTGTCTTCTTCCCAGGAAAAGTTGCGCGAAGGGTTCCGACTTTCCAGCAGGGATGCATTTTTTGCGAATAACTCATTTTTAAGTAACTGAAATTTTGAAAAGGATGATTTTTGAATAGGCCAGAACATTTTTGCTCATACGTATTTGCTGGTTAAACGTTGGGCAAGTGTATTACAGAAATATGCGCGCATTCTGAATAGAAAATAAGTTCTAGAAGTTTTTCCCTCACTAAGCTTCAACTTGCACGGTAAACAACAATAATGGGATTTTGCTTGGGATCAAGACATCCGCAGAAATTTTAAATACTGTAAAATATTGAATTCGCAATCAGCATAAACCTTGAACAACTTTTCCATGCGAGTCCAGCAGTTGCAAAAGAAAAATTTACATGATCTGCAATAAGAATACATTTTAATAGAGTTACGATTTTCAAATTTGTTCTTCACTGCTGTGGAAACATTCGCAATTTTTTGAAACAAGAAATTGAATCGTTAAAGTTTTTCAATGATCTGAGGTTTAAATTATGAAGTCATTTATTTATTTCTTCTCCATGGTTTTAATCTATCGTTGAAAAAAATGGTCATCTCTCATTTTTGGTCATGCGGAAAATTCATCCTTTTTTGTTGGGGGCCGAGGATCAATGAAATATTCGAAAATTTTTATTTTTCAATTACGAAGCCATTTATTTATTTATGTGCGCTCTATCAATCATTGAAATATTCATTTGTTCATCATCCTGGGACAAACTTTAAATGCGGTTCATGACGATCGACTTCAAAAAAGCTTTTTCTTAAATCAAGAATAGTCACAGCAGGCGTATGTGATGGGTCAATCACAAAAAGGGATTCAAATTATCTCTCAAATCTCGTCAAATACGTCGATTTTCTTGTTTAAACATATAAACAGTACTATAATCCCGCGGAAAGGTATAATTGTTTTCTTCTTTGTATGGAGTAGGACTAAGGCCAGTCATATCATAAGCACTTCCCAGTCCAAAGCAACGCAAAAAAATAAAAAATAAATACAGGCAGATAGGTTTCCCCAAACACTTCCTGAATCACCTTTGCGTGAGCTATTGTTTCCCAGACTCGTGATTGCTGTTAGGGCAATGACTTTTTTCTTTTTTTTTTTCCTTTTGAATTTGTCTCGGGGTGTGTTGCTGGGGTTGATGAGGCGTGGATTTGGAGGCGACTGCGGGGTATAAAATCCGGGGCTTGGGTGCGGTCAGGGCATCACTTAGACTTCACCAANAAAGAATAGAATTGAGTTTGTTACTATATATACAGTATATATTATACGAGAGAAGGGCAAGGCGAAGCGATTACTCGGACACCTTAACCGGAACCTCAATCGACGAGAATGGCGTGAAAGTACAATAAATATGTCGCTTATCATGGTTAAATGAGAAAAGAAATACGCTGAATATTTCAGGGTCGCCGAAACGTGGAAAAAAGGGGACTTTTAAAGGTAACCTGGGCCGCGGAAATCGTGCTGGTCCAATTATTTTGTTTGCCCCTCGTAGTTCAGCATGTGGTGGCATTTGAGAAAAGGGTTTTCTCACAAGTTCTGCTGAGATGAACCCTTTCCGCGAATTGCTTTAAATATGGAAATCTCCACTGTTACTTTTAAATATGGTCTTTTATATGTAATGTGCAAAATGCTTAAATTCCGCAGCTTTCTTTCAATCATCAATGCCATAAATTATATCCGCTATTTGACTTATTTGTCTTCTTCCCAGGAAAAGTTGCGCGAAGGGTTCCGACTTTCCAGCAGGGATGCATTTTTTTTTTGCGAATAATTCATTTTAAGTAACTGCAATTTTGAAAAGGATGGTTTTTGAATAGGTCAGAACATTTTTGCTCATACGTCTTTGGTTTAACGTAGGGCATATGTGTATTACAGAAATATGCGCGCATTCTGAATAGAAAATAAGTTCTAGACGTTTCTCTCTCATTAAACTTCCACTTACACGGTAAACAACAATAATTAGATTTTGATTGGGATCAAGACATCCGCAGAAATTTTAAATACTGTAATATATTGAATTCGCAATCAGCATAAACCTTGAACAACTTTTCCATGCGAGTCCAGCGGTTGCAAAGGAAAAATTTACATGATCTGCAAAGAATACATTTTAATAGAGTTACGATTTTCAAATTTGTTCTTCACTGCTGTGGAAACATTCGCAATTTTTTGAAACAAGAAATTGAATCGTTGAAGTTTTTCAATGATCTGAGGTTTAAATTATGAAGTCATTTATTTATTTCTTCTCCATGGTTTTAATCTATCGTTGAAAAAAAAATGGTCGTCTCTCATTTTTGGTCATGCGGAAAATTCATCCTTTTTTGTTGAGGGTCGAGAATCAATGAAATATTCGAAAATTTTTATTTTTCAATGACGAAGCCATTTATTTATTTATGTGCGCTCTATCAATCATTGAAATATTCATTTGTTCATCATCCTGGGACAAACTTCAAATGCGGTTCATGAAGATCGACTTCAAAAAAGCTTTTCTTAAATCAAGAATAGTCACAGCAGGCGTATGTGATGGGTCAATCACAAATAGGGATTCAAATTATCTCTCAAATCTCGTCAAATACGTCGATTTTCTTGTTTAAACATATAAACAGTACTATAATCCCGCTAAACGGTATAATTGTTTTCTTCTGTGTATGGAGTAGGACTAAGGCCAGTCATATCATAAGCACTTCCCAGTCCAAAGCAACGCAAAAAAATAAAAAAAAATAAATACAGGCAGATAGGTTTCCCCAAACACTTCCTGAATCACCTTTGCGTGAGCTATTGTTTCCCAGACTCGTGATTGCTGTTAGGGCAATGACTTTTTTCTATTTTTTTTCCTTTTGAATTTGTCTCGGGGTGTGTTGCTGGGGTTGATGAGGCGTGGATTTGGAGGCGACTGCGGGGTATAAAATCCGGGGCTTGGGTGCGGTCAGGGCATCACTTAGACTTCACCAATTGCGCAGTGCAGTTCTCCGAAAAAACTTGCAGGCCCCTTTTCGAGTTTCGAATTTTATTTCGAAAGCGATTGAATAACAGAATCACCTCAGCACCATGAAATTCGTGAGTTCAAAAAACCCTTAGTTACTTCTTCAACAACTCTCTACAATGATATAGAAACAATATACTGTAGCAACAAGTTCAGTGATCCTCAGAAGCTCTTCAAGTTTGATAAAATGTATGCATACCGGTGCAGTATACATATACTGTAATCCTTTGCGAAGGAGACCGGCAGAAAAGTAAAATTAAAGCAGTGAAAAGCTCGATGGTAGTTTAAAGGTTTAAAATGTCGCCGAAATGCATTTTAATCGTTTGCTAGCCATCCATTTATGTTTCTGAAGTAGCGGCTGAAAATAAATCTGCTCAGTACCATGGAATTTGTGAGTGCAAAAAATTTTTTCGTGTGATGGAAACGTCCAGCAGAGAAGCAGGATTGTTGATCCACAGTGTTTAACAATATTTCAATATTTTCCATCATTATTCCATTTGAGGAACATTTAAATTGTTAATTAAGATCGAAAACAAACTTATTACTTTTAAATATGAGAGTGTTCGCTTCAATTTAACTTCTTCTTGAGTGATCTACAAAGTTAAAAACTGTAGAAGAACAACCTGATCTTATATTCACAATTTGAAAACTGTTAATCCTTCAAACTGCATACTTTTTTTATTTTGGCTTAAATTAATCGCCATTTATTTTATTTTTCGCAGACGATTGCATTGTTTGCTGTGGCTGCCTTGTGCGCCGTTTTCGCCAACGCCGAAGAAGCGAAGGCCAATGCCGAATCCAGTGACATGGCGGCCAGCGAGTCCAAGCATTACGGCAGCCGGTATGGCGGCTACCGTGGCGGCTATGGCGGCTACAGCAAGAGCAGCTACGGACGCCGCCACGCTGAGGACGACACCGACCTCGATGCTGCCGATGCTGACATGGCTCTCTCCGAGTCCAGGTAACCTTCTGCTTAAGAAAATTATGACAAGAAATTCTTTTGATGCAATCAGTCGAATCCGAATTTTTGTTTACGATCGATGTCTTGAATGTAATTAGCAATTTTAAAATATTGAAATATCTCAATCATGCAACGTAATTGACGAGAAAAATGCACTTGTAATGCTCAGATCTTCGGAAAGAGGTCAATTTTCCCGGTGAATATAAGATTATCTTCAATCATACTGTATTACACGTATATGAAGAATCCGAGTGGAGGCTGCAAATTTTGATCTATCATAGCTTCAGTTACAGAATTATTCCCTCAAACATTTGCGAAAGAAAATGCGCAGATGAAGTGAGATTTCTAACGTTTTGGAAATAATTTCAGAACGCAATTGAGTAGATTTTCACGTGACTGAATCTTCAAGCATTATAAGTTCAAATATTTCTCAGTAAGCTCTTGAAAAAATACGTACCCACCTAAATTCCGATTCCAATGACTTTAAAATATTTGATTTAAAATTACCGTAAAGTATAGGCTGATGACTGGAATTATTGAAGATCTTCAGGAAAACGTTTGCTGGAACACTAACACAATCGTATAAATCATAAAATTTTCGTAAATAAATTTCAATGCAGAAACGCGCATTTTTCGACCATTCAAATTAATTCCGTCTCCATTACAGTACTTTACCAAATTTTAAATAATTTAAAAGTGCATTGACTTCTTTTAATCTGCAGCAAGATAGAAACTTTTAATATACATTTTAAACGCTCGGAAAATCACAGCAACAGGTTACATAGAAATTTGATGTTGCATATGTTATGTTATTTTTTTCTGCGATCATGCATAATTTGTGAAAGATTCAAATTGTTTTCTTATGTGCTTTTATAGATACGGGAGCCATGGTGGATACAGCCGCGGTGGCTACAAGGGCCACAAGGGATACAGCCGCCGTCACGCTGAAGATGACGCCTCCGCCGTCGAAGAGGTCGCCGCTGATTTGGGCAGCGAGGAATCCAGGTAAAATAAAAACAAATAAAAAATCATTCTCGCATCCACATTTTTCCACTTTCCTTGATGAGAAAGCTCGTTGGAAATCCTGCTTCATCCATGTGCTGTAATTCAAACTCCCACTTCAATAACGAAAATAACTCGAAACTTTTTCTTTTTCGTGACTGGGTTTAGATACAGCAAGAGCCGAGGTGGTTACAGCCACGGTGGCTACAAGGGCCACAAGGGATACAGCCGCCGTCACGCTGAAGATGACGCCTCCGCCGTCGAAGAGGTCGCCGCTGATTTGGGCAGCGAGGAGTCCAGGTACAGAAAAAAGAGAGAAAAAAATTGGAATGCACAAATTATTCAGGACAAAATGACTCAAGAATTTATTCCAGTTCATGTTTTAAAACTGTTGCTTCCGAACTTCCTCAGAAACTTATGGTCAAAAAATCCTTTATAGCGGTCTTATATGTCCAAGAAAATGATTTCATTAGTGTTTCTACACGATGAACGCAGTGGAATTACATAAATCAAAGGAATTTAAATTTCCACACGTGTCATTTTAAAAGAAATTCTGACGATTCTCTTCTCAAACTTGGCTTAAGTCAAGTGAACTTCGGCTGATTTGGGCAGCAATGAGTGTACAAAACTCAAGTTAAAAGAGAAAAGCGCCCTTTTCATCAAAATCTGTATATTCCCCTGACTATATAGAACACTCGACAGAGAGCCTTATTGAAGTTTCTGCATGTTATCTATGTTCCCACTTGAAAAAATAAATAACTCGCGAACATTTTCGACTGGGTTTAGATACAAGAACCACGGTAGCTCCCGCTATGGTGGATACAAGAGCTACAAGGGTTACGGGCGAAAATACGCTGAAGACGATGCCTCCGCCGTCGAAGAGGTCGCCTCTGATTTGGGCAGCGAGGAGTCCAGGTAAAAAGAAAAAAAAAAATCGAAAATTGAATTCATCTTCAACAATTATTCAGGACTTGAAAGCATTTATTGGAAAATATTCAAGTTCATGCTTTAAACTTGTTTGCTCCCAACAACTTCCGTGTATATGGAAAATTAGAATCAAATTTAATACCGCAATTCAAGGAGTTTTTCGCCTAGAAAATTAGCGCAGTGGTGTTTTCTCAAAACAAATCAGGTGCAATATATTTGCAATTACACAAATATCAATGTGTATACTTTTAATTGCAGATCAATTCTGAATTTTCTCTTAAACTGATCTCTGTGCTCGAGTTCCGCTAAGCACGCCCAGAATTTTTAATACCCTTTAAAAAATCTCTAAAAAATCGCGATTATGAAATTACTGGAAGAAATCGAGGAAAATGCGCTCTTCTGCGCTTTTCTAAACAATTTTTCTGACGGATATAAGATGTACTTATTCAAGTATATAGAAGAAATTTCATCATGATCCTTGCAATGGGGTGTGTGAATAATGTAGATCATCCTTCCAATATCCGTGTTATTCTATCAAATACATTTGCTATTGTCCTATGCTTTTGAAAGTTATCCAAAACTCTTAGATATAAACTTAGAAGAATTTCATTCGGAGAATTGCTTGATCAAAAGTCAGAAGGAATCCCGAACTTCACCTGAAAATCAAAAATTAACGTCATTGACTGAGCTCTTCAAACAAAAAAAAAAAAAAGAAAAATACAAGTGGGCTCGGTCTGCAATAAAATTCAAATGACCGGAAAAGTTTGTTCTGGAGCGAATTTTGTTGTAGAGAACACTTCAAACTCGGGGATGAGAAACCGGTGGAACCACAAACATTTTTTTATAATGTACTGTACAGAGAAAATCGTCTCCAAAGAGCATCCACTTGTATTACATCCAGAAGTCAATTGAGAATATTCAGATTTGACATTAGTTGAATCTCGAGGGTTAAATTCTAGCGAATGAAATGGAATTCATTTGTTATGATTGCTGTAAAACTCGAGTAAAAGCTTTCCGAAAGAAAAAATGTTGAGGGTTCGAGTCGATCCCATTTTGAAAATTTTATATTGCCTTGGTATTTAAGTGAATTGCATTATTCCATTCGTCTGGTTTGATTTTTCAGGCGCGGAAACTACGGCTCACACCGCGGCTATGGCGGCCACAAGTACGGCTACGGCCGGAAACACGCCGAGGACGACAGCGCCGATGTTGCCCAAGTGGCGTCCGATTTGGGCAGCGAGGAGTCCAGACTCTACAGCGGCCTCCACGGTTACGGCCGCAGCTATGGCGGCTACGGACTCGTCGGCCGCAGCTACGGCGGCTACGGCCACGGCTACGGCTACGGCCACGGCCACGGCGCCTACGGCCACGGCGGCTACGGATACTTCCGCGGCGGCTATTTGGTCTAAATCGAGTCTCAATAAGGACGCCCTTTTTTGTGATGATGGATTCGGATAAGGAAAGAAACGAAAGAAAAACAAGAACGAATGGATGGATGATAACGGAAGTATCGTCTCGAACACTCGATTTGATGGCTCACAAACGGTACCTGTCAGGCTTCAGCATTCGTGTTTAAATCGTTGCTGAGAAATTTAATTCTTTTTTTTTTCCTTTTATGCCAACGTTTTAATTTCTTTTTGTGCGGCTTTCGAGTGTCCGTTTTCGAACTGTCCTGATGAGGGAACATGTTCCACAGCGGCTTCTTTTTTTTTTGTGCGGCGATTGCAGAGCATTAAATGCATGTCTTCATTGTGGTCTCAACGAATGGCTGTCTTTCATTTCCAATACATTATTTTACACTCGAAATTTTCCTATGATGAAACATTTGGCAGTACATTTTGGAAAGACGAAAGTCTTTGACCAGCATTTTAAGGTTTCCAGATTTTTGGTAAGAGGAACCATTTGAGTCTTGAGGGAAACCACGTCTGGATATGAATGTAAAATTACTTATATTCCCTGATCAAATATTTTATTTAGACTATAGCTTCCTCTAACTTTCGCAAACAAACAACCAACGAAAGAGAATAGATTGGAACAATATCAGCTTGGATGTTATTTTGGTAACAAAAAAGGGCTAATGCAGACGTTATTTAGTTTAAAAATACTCAAATAGTGGAGCCCCTGAAGTTTGGATTAAATTAATTTGCAGACTTGTGTTCATTTGTTGAAATGTCTGTATGTTGATTCACATTTCCCCGTAGACTTCAATGATAACATATTTATTCACTTCTAGTATTTCAATAGAAAAAAATTGAAAAAGTTCCTCGAAAATTAAAAAAAAAATGTTTTCAACTTCAAAGTGCTGAAAATAACTGCGAAAAATCTGCCCTTTCTATTTGATGAAGAGTCCAAAAGCCAAAAAAATGACGCAGGAAAAAATATATTGCTGATCTGTACACAACTGACGGAAAAGAACATAAAAAAGCTATCCCAACTTTTTTCCGCCGTTATTACCGTATCCCAGCAAATAATTTGTTACAGGTATTGCTGCGCATAACAGTTATGCATTAAAAAATGCGTTTGTTATGCATCACTGTCATGCCCAGCTTCTTCTGAAACGCCTTTCTTTTTTTTCTTTGTTGCTGTACTGAAAGTTTTTTCTGAGATGTGTTCAGAATGCATTTTTAATGCATTCTGTAGTTACGCCTATACTTTAAACATTTTTGATGAGCTTTTCTTGAGTGTAGCAGGCAGTCATTTCAAAATGCCTACCTGCTACACTCAAGAATTTATATTTTTTCAGATTTTCCTGGGTGTAACATGGAGCATTTTGAAACACTCTGTGTTACAACCAGGGAAAATCTGAAATAAACAGTTTTTAGCATTGTAACAGAAAGGCATTTTAAAACGCCTGCCTGTTACAACCAAGGGAAATCTGTAGAAATCAGTTTCTTGGGATTGTAACAGATAGGCATTTCAAAATGCCTGTCTGTTACAGTGCCAAAAACTGTTCATTACAGCTTTTCCTTCTTTGTAGCATGGAGTATTTTGTAACACCAGCCTGTTACATTCTTTAAAG